GGTATCCTCACCCCCCCTTGCGATGACGCGTGCGCGCCAACTCCATGACCCGCCGCAGCATGCACGGGTCTCCGTGCTGGAGTACCACGCTCCTGAATAGGGCTGAGGGGTGCTACCGGCTGTCGAGCGCGCTGCTCCTGCTGCAGGCGCTCCGCGCGCGCGCGCCGTAGCCGCGCGCCGCTGGACTTACGTCGCCCCAAAATAGGCCACCGCTGTACAGTCGTAGTTGTTGTCGCCGGCGACTGTGCAGCACCATCAGGCGCCGCCAACGCCGCCGGTCTCCAACACGCCGTTGCGACTTGAGCAGCGTTCGTGGGCGCCTCCTCAGCAGCAGCGCTCAACGGAAGCTGCGCCGTCGTAACGCTCTGCTGCGCAGCTGCTGCGTGGGCGGCGCTCGCCGCTGCTGCAGAAGCTGCATGCACTGCAGACAGCGCAGCGCCCAAAGGTGCCGCTGCTGCCGCAGCGTTCCGTGGTGCTGCTGGTGCGAGCGCGGCGCGTCGCGGCGCCGCCACACCAGAAGCACGCGCCGCGACTGGCGCGGCGCCCGAGGGCGCTGCTGCCATCGCAACGCCCCGCTGCGCGTCATCCTCTTGGGCGGCGCTCGACGGCGCCACTGAAGAAGCTGCGCGCGCCGCAGCTTGCGCGACGTCCATAGACACCGCTGCTGCCGCAGCCCTCCGTGGTGCTGTTGGTGCGTGCGCGGCGCGCGCAGGCACCGCCAAACCAGCAGCACGCGCCGCGACCGGCGCGGTGCCCGAGGGCGCCGCTGCCATCGCAGCGCTTCGTTGCGCGTCGGCCGTTTGGGCGGCGCTCACCAGCACCCCCGCAGAAGCCGCGCGTGCTGCAGCTTGCGCGACGTCAGTAGGCGCCGCTGCTGCCACAGCACTCCGTAGTGCCTCTGGTGCGTGCGCGGCGCGCCGCGGCGCCGCCACACCAGAAGTACGCGCTGCGACTGGCGCGGCGCCCGCCGGCGAGGGCGCCGCTGCCACCGCAGCGCTCCGCTGCGCGTCAGCTGCTTGGGCGGCGCTCGCTGTCGCCCCCGCAGACGTCGCGCGCACTGCAGCTTGCGCGACGCCCGCAGGCGCCGCTGCTGCCGCAGCGTCTCTGACTGTCGTCGGGGGGAGGGCGTCACTCCCCCCCCCAGTGACACTAGAGGCTCCAAGTGCTCCCCCCCAGGCAGGAGTGGGCTGGGGGTCGCACCCCTAGGTGCCCCTGTTGCCACTGTTGCCACGGCCGCAGCAGCCGTAGCCGCCCCCGTAGCGGTTGTAGCTCCTGCCACCGCCAGCGCCACTTCCGCTTCCACCATCTGCAGAATCTCTGCTGCGCGGGCCCTGAAGCGAGGAGGCATCGCCGCTGTTGAAAGCACGTACGCGCGACCGGAGTGCCTGCCACGTCGTCTGGTTCGTAGGCGCAAATTTCTGCACCTGTGGGCGTTGTACTGCTGCCGCTGCCCAACCTGCGTGGTTGAATGCCTCCGAGCATGCGCTGAACAGGTGATCACCGCCGCAGTTGTAGCACCCCAGCGCGTTACCCCGCGCCCGCTCCGAGCTGGTGAATTTCTCCTCCACCACTGCCAACAGAGCCATAGAGTTCAGTGTCACTGATTCACGCTGCTGCCTGCGCCTCCTGTCGCCCAGCGCGTAATCATTGGTGCCACCACCACCACTGCCGCCACTTAGACCGCTGGCGCCTCCGCCTGAGCCCGTGCTGAGTGTCTCCGGGTATATAGAGTAGCCGGCGGGTGCGCCGCTGGCGAGATGCTGCACGGAGCGGTGCGCCTTGAGCGCCTCAAGCGCCTGGTGCATGCTGTAGCGTGTGTGGCGGTTGATGATGTCCCGAATGTTGTCCTGCGCGGCAGTCATTGGGTATTGCCTGTTCACCAAGCCCGTAAGAGCTTGGACGCGTAGGTTGTCGTTTGTCGGGTCGATCATTGCGGACAGGTTGCACTTGGACTGCATGTAGTTGAGCGCATCATGGAATGGCGTGTCTTTGCGCACCGCCACGCGTAACAGGTCCGCCGCAATGCGAGAAGGCTGACCTTGCTGGAAGTGCTCCCCCAGTTGTTCCATGAGCCACTCGTAGAGCTGCAGGTCTCTCGTGCCAGCCGCCACCCCCCGTGCGCCCTCCGCGATCCATTGTTCTGCCTGCTCGCGCACCGTTGCTGCTGCAGGGTGCGAGCCCCGTAAGGCGACGCACAGGCCCATGGTGAAGGGGGCCAGCCATTCGCAACCAAAGTCGTCCTCCCTGTTGAGCACCTGCGGCAGCTTGGCCTTCTGGCGCGCGAGTGAGCAGGCGTGGCGCAGGTGCACCAGCAGTTGACTGCCAATCTGCCACACGACATACTCGTCGCCGCGGTTTACAGGCGTGAGGCCATGGAACAGCTTGTCCAAGTCTGCCGGTACACGGCACAGAGCCCAGCCATCACGATCAAAGTTGTCGTCGCGGCTGCCTCCACTGCCGCCACCACCAGCGCCACCTGCACCACCGCCGCCTCCACTGCCGCCGCCGCTGCCGCCGCCAGAGGCTGCGCCAACCGGGTACACTGCCCCGGGGCGATCTAGAGGGGCCGCTGCCGCCTCCGCCGCCGCCGCCGCCGCCATCGCCGCCACCGCCGCCTCCGGCGCCGCCGCTGCCTGCAGCGCCGCCGCTGCTGCCGGCGCCGCCGCTGCTGCCGGCGCCGCAAGCGCGGCGCCAAAGTCGCTGCTGCCGCTGTCCGCGAGGGTGGCAGCAGGCAAGGCAGTTGGCGCAGCAGTCGTCGATGGCCTCTGCTGGGTAGCCGCTGCTTGCATAGTACCTGGGGCGGCCGCCATTGCGGCCGTTGGCGCCGCCGATAGGCCAGCCTTGGCCCTCCGTAGCTGCTGAGCCTCTGCCGTAGCTGCATCGCGCTGCATAGTAAGTGTCATCAGAGCCTGATGGAAGCAGCTCTGATCTGCTGCATGCTGCAGCTGCAGCTGAGCGTCGGGCTTCATAGTAGGTTGCGCTGTGGGTGCCAAAGTCGCATCCGACGAGTCAGCAGCGTAGCTGCTTGTTACACGTTTCCAGTTGTTGACGCAGTGGCCGGGCGTCAGCGCCGCCAGCAGGAATGGTCGGCGCCGCCGATCCGCTCGGCGACACGTGCTTTCCAGGCCCAGCCAATGGTGCAGCGTATGGCGCAATAGGCGGTCGTGCCACGCTGCTGCTGCGGATCGTACTAAGCGGCACTGCCGGGCCGCTGGTGCTGAAGTCTGCTACTGACACGCTGTCCTCGGGAGCCACACTGGGTGCTGCGCTGCCAAAGTTGTTACCCACAGAGTGGAAGGATGTCTCATACGCCGTTGTGGTACGACGCTGCGCATCAAGCATCGCACCTTTAGTGCCCACCTCAAGTAGCTGGCGCCGCATGTCCCCCACGCCCTCTGCAGCGTTGTTGTGCCGCCGCAGCAGATCCTCTTGCCGCGCGATCACCTCGGAGTCCTCCATGCGCTTTTGCCCCTGCGCAACCTCCGCTGCCACTCCTGACAGGCGCTCACCCATGTGGATCAGCCGCAACTCCGCAGTCGCAATCCTCTCACCGACCTCCGCGATGCTCCCCGCGATGGCCGCCATGTCTCCTTGTATGACAGGAATCACATCCTGTACCAGCGCGTCCATGTCGCGCTGTGATGCTGCACCGCCTGCGATGGTGGGGCCACTCCCCATCTGCGCCAGTGCACTAGCGTGCTCCGCCAGCTGCATCTGGTGCCTGCGCAGCGATGTGTCGATACCGGGCAAGTTGTGCGTAATTACCATGCACAGATCCTGCCCCATGAGAGAGGTGGTGTTGGCCACCCCTGCGAGCCCCCCTTTGAGGCTGGTTACCTCGGACTGCAGGAACTGCAACTCCATGTTGAGCTGCAAGTCCAAGTCCTCCTCGGCAGTCATATGCCCCACCGTCGCAGCTTCCTTTCGCTGCTCCTCCTGCTCCATTTCACGCTCCCTAGGGGGGGGCGGGAGTACCCTTCACATTGAGGACATTGCTTGAGGTTTGGAGTAACATGGAGCGAGCGCTTGGGATAGCATTCCCAGACAAGATAATGCAGAGACGGCTTGCAAGAGCAGGCATGACGTTGGCTCAGCACTCCAAATACGCCTCTGGTCTACGCCGTGGTTCGGTTACCCCAACACAGACACATAGGAGTCCTCTCGTAGTTGAAGCCAGCACATCTTCGTCTGTAAGGAGCACTGCTGTAGTGTACACCATAGCTCTGGTACGCTATCCCCTTGGCCACGCGCGCTGCAACAATTTTGGAGCGTGCGCGCGCCACATTGTGATGCTGCATTGAGCCGTTGTGTGACCTGTTGTAATTGTGCAAGTGCTGCACAGTGAACCGTGCGGTCATCAAAGACGTAGGCGGCGCCGTGGGCTGTGAGCTGCAAGCAGCGCACACAGGGACTAAAAGCCATGCTCCATCCCTTGCCTCTTAGAGCGACACGATTATTTAATTATAAGCATTAGCAATGAAAAGGGGTGGGCTATGGATGGAACTGCATGCGATTTGGTACACATGGCGAAAACGACACAGCGCATGTGCATGGCAGCATGACCAAGGCGCTGGATGCCACACAAGCAACACAAACGCGCGATGGGCATCACTCGAAGTTTTCATAGGCCACTGACATGGTAGTCATGACAAATGACAACTGGACCTGGACTGTCTGAGTGTTGTGCTGTGCAATCGCATTTGCAGTTGAGATTGTGCGAAACGTTGGCTGCAGTAGGCGTGCCACAGTATGTCAACTTCCCCCCTGTTGCGTTGGAAATAGTGGCAGTGGACACAAACTCAGCAAGAGTGAGGCATGAAGTGAAACTCTTATGCAGTCAGTCAAGTGCCGAGTGAGTGCAAACGCAAGCCGCAATGCGCATCAGATCAACGAGTGTGCACATAGTGTGTCAACCGCATGCTGTGGCGACTTTAGTATTGACAAACCATCACAGCAAAAGGAATGCAGGGATAGCAAGCACACATATAGTATGAACAGCTTCACACCGGCAGGAATTGAACCCGCATCTCCAGGGCATGTACTGTGCTGGTGTGCTTCCATTGCACCACGGTGTGTATGATGATGCAACACAACTACATGCTGGTCTCTCTTGGTGGACCTGAACCGGCAAGGCTCAGCTCCAAGCCCCCGCACCACGACAAGGTGGAGACCGCATTTGCGGGGGAACTACCTACACAAGCGATGCAGCACGCCAAGCAACAACAAGCCTGCGGAACATCGAATCCCAGCACAATCTGCACGATTTGCGTCAGTCTCCCAGGTTGCAACGTGGGCAGACTGGTCTGAGATGCGATGTACGCAGCCTTACTGGTGCTGGACGCACTGCGACCAGGCAGTACGACCAGACGAGAGCATGCTGCTAAACACAGGCACGGCCTAGGAGGAGAGAGGGCAGCAGCCCCTTCTCTTCCAGAGGAGGGCACCCAGCGACGACTGGGTGCGTGCCCTCCCGCGGATCTTAGACCCTCTCATTGCTGCTTAGAGTGTCGGCCGTGGCTAGACCGGCGGTCGCCATGGGTTGATATGTCAGCACGAACTGTGCCCTGTCAGCCCTGCTGCGCTGCCGCAACAGCAGAGCCTTCCAGGCAGCCAACAAGTGGTTGACTTCTGAAAGCCTGGGTATCATGTGTTCTAACAACAGCTCTTGTCTGGCCTTTACCTGTTGTTTCGTGGTGCCGCCAGGTCGTGTGCCCAGGCCAAAGCGCTGCGCACTTTCAAGTGGAGGCGATGACCTTGTGGTACCTCCAGACACGCGCCCGCCACAGCCCAAGCGCGCCTACGCCACCAGGGACGGCCTAGGCATAGCAGTAAGTGACTGCGATTGCCTCAAAGGAAAGCAGCAATGCCTTCCTTGCAATCAGGCTGCCATCTCGTGCGAGCCGCCAGCAGTGTGACCTCGGCACACACAGACTGCAATCAGCCTCAGTGCAGCATGATCATGAAGCATGAAGCATGCAGCATGAAGCATGCAGCATGAGGCTCCTGGTGCTCGTAGGCGCGTGGTCTTGTGTGCCAGCCATTCGATTCGGCAGTTTCACACAAGTTGAAGTGAAGTTGGTGAAGTGAAGTTGGTGAAGTGAAGTTGGTTCAATGTTTTTCATTACTGAACTTGAAACTGTAGAGAGCGATGGTAGGCTCCGCTCGGCACGTTGCTCCTGTGTGTTACGCCACTTCAATCAGTGAGCTTCAGCTGCTGTCCCTGGTGGTGGCTCGAGCGTGATCACCTGCATCCACGCGCCAGCACTCTAGGAGGAAAGCCCTATTTTAGTTGTGGCTGTCCACAGATTCTGGTTGTTGTGGGAAACGCAAACAAACTTTTTTCTTTGGAAGTGCACTAAACAAAGTTAGATGTTGGTGAGAAAAACCTCAGGGCTTTCACCAATCGCCACTGACTTTCAGGGGGCTCTGTTCTTCAGTGGAGTTTTCCCGATTTGACATTACTGCGATACTTCTGTATCTTGGTCAGAGCCAGTACACATGGTCAGTATGCTGTGTCATTCGGCAGGAAAACGAAGCCCACAAGTCGTCCGCAAGCATTCTTTCATTGTCGATTGTCCCCAAACTCTTTAGGACAGAGCAATAGCAAACGATTATCATTTGCTGCAATAATGCTGCAGTAGACATAGACGCTTCTGGTACCTGCCGTCGGGGAGCAGGGGCTGAAGCTGCTGGAGGCTGTGGCGACGGAGTATGCCAGCAGGATGTCAGTGCCCGGAGGAGCGCGCCCTCAAGCTCTTAAGGGCATCACCCTGGCGCGCTTACGCTCGGCTCTGTCGGCAGCGCTCCACATGGCGTACTCTGGCCGTGTCATGACACACATGGCAGAATTGGCAGAATCCAGGGGGGGGGGGCACATGGAGGAGGACGTAGGGAGGATCCCGAGATGCCATTTGGCGGCGGCGGCGTTTGAGTGGTTGTCGTTACGACACTTTCAGACTGTCATACGACATGTAGATTCCGTACAGCTAGATGCCAATCATCTGGGCTTTTTCGCGCCTTGAGCGAGAAATAATAAAAGTACCTGCCGTCACAGGTGTTTGTGTTTGCATGTACAAGATCTCGAGCCAGGAGTTTGTGTTTGCATGTGGAAGAACGACATGCATGCAAACACAACGACCGGGGACATGTGCCTTGCTCACCAAGTAGTTCCTCCGCCCACCATCTGATTGGGGGGCCAAATGGGGCACGTTGTGGGAGGATATTAGTCACTTCAACATCACCTCGACGAGCGGTTACGCCTCCTGAAACGTTTTGAGCGAAGAGTAGTTTGTCGCTGTGGCGCGGGCGCGGTTGTGGGGGCGGCCGGCGGCAGAGCGGAGCCTTGGCGTAGGCAAGACGGTCTTGAGGGCAAGTTGCTGCAAGGTTGTGTGCATCGTGCTCTGCGTGCTTTCTAAACATGCCTGAGGATAAGGCATGGCTTTTTCTTTCAAGCAAGCCTCATAGGAGAGCTCGGCATTTACACAACGCCTTCGACAGCTAGAGTCTGAATTTATTCGTTGCTGTCGATTTTAACGCTGACAGCCGCCATGCTGCCAAATCACTTGTGCAGGTGGGCAAGCGCAGCCATGGCGCCGCGATCGCTGTCGTTCAATGTGTGTCACCTGATTATCAGGACTTTAAAACGCGATCCACCTCTTCAACTGGAGGGCGGCAGGGAATTTCAGTGGAAATGTTGGCTACCGCCATGCTCCGCAAGGCCAAACTTTCAGGTGGCTGGAGCAGTGTCACTCTTGGCACTGAACTGCTGCACGCTGGGCAATCGGTGCTCAAGCCTAACACAGGCTTGCACGATGCCCTCGACGAGTACCACCTGCACAAGCTTGTCGCAAAGCTGGCTGTCCTCGCGGACGCAGAGCTGAAGAAGAGCATGGAAGCGACGCCGATGCCAGCAGCGCACAGACAAGTAAGCCACAAAGGTTGAATAGGATGCAGCCTGCTAGGCTTGCTTCCCCTTAAATCTCTTTGTTGAACGATGCGCTGCAGACGGCTCTGCAAGCATCAGGAATCAGGAAGTGAATGAGAAGCAGCATTCACGACAGGGCGACCACTCTTCAGACCTATCAGTTACGGTTACGTGTGCTGAGTGCTCAGGCCAGCGATTCCTCAGTTCATTGTGGCCTGCTCTCCGACACGAGAGCTGTGCGCATCCTGCAGGCGAGCGCTGCGGGCATCGGCATGCTCTCAAAGCATCATATCGCTGAGCATATGCGCGGAAAAGAGTGTATGTGTTGCGGTCTTCAAACTCAGTGGCCAGGCACATACCACCTCAAAATGTGTCGCTTGAAGCGCCTGTCGACTGCCAGTTGCGGCGCGCCGCGCTGATCGTTGCAGCTTGCAGGCAATCACCATCGCGGCACCGCATGCAACTCGCTAATCACCTGCCCACACTGTTGTTGCAAGGCGCAGACTGAACGCGCGTATGTGTGACAACTCAATGCTTCGTAGGTAGAGCAACACAGCCGATGCCCTGACGCACGCAACACGTTCATCCGCATGCGTTGTTGCAGGCCAAGGGTACTGCTGCCAGCGCTCAACCCGTGCTGCCGCGGCGCGCTGCCATGAAGGGACCTGCCCACAAAGGGACTGTGAGGAGCGCGGACGCAGCCGGCCTCACACCTCCTGACACGCCCAAACGACAGCGTGTCAACCAGGGCTCTGAAGGCGTCCCCCCCCCAGCTGCAGCTGAGCCCGGGATCGTCAGAGACGCCATGCTGGTGAGCGCTGCCGCAATGTAGTCATGTGCATGGGCGCTGCTGCTTTTTGCGCATCAGTCTGGTGACGCGTTGCCTTCAGGGTGAGGGTTAGGGTTATGGTTAGGCTTAGGGTTTTGGTTCGGCTTAGGGTGAGCATAAGGGTGAGCGTTAGGGTTAGGGTTAGACTTAGGGTTAGGATTAGAGCTAGGGTTAGGGTTAGGGTTTTGATTAGGGCCAGCGTCCTCATGTGTGTCTCTCGGAGGCTCATCCGCCACAGGACTTCAGAGCGTGCGGTTCGCTATTGCACTCATACCCGTTCACAGCGGCAGCATATGTCGATCACGACACTGCCATGGCAATACATAGGTTGGCACTGCCATGGCAATACCTAGGGTTAGGATTAGAGTTACGGTTGGAATCAGAGTTTGGATTAGGGTTAGGATTACGGCTAGAACTAGGGTAAGGGTGAGCACGAGGGTTAGGGCTATAGTAAGGATTAGGTTAGGGTTAGGGTTAGGGTGTAAATAAGGGTTAGGTTTAGAGTTAGTGTCAGCTTCCTTTTACGCGTATCTCGGAGGCTCATCCGCCACAGGCCTTCAGGGCGTGCGGCCCGGTATTGCACTCATATTTGTTTACTGCGCCAGCATGCGCCGCTCAGGACACTGTCATTGCAGTACATAGGACGTACTGTAAGCTGTTTTGGGTGACAGCGTCGCATGTACATTATGCTCAAATGTATGCCAGCCTCATCAGTCAGGCTAGCCGTAAATGGGGGCAGTGATGCACATGATAATGCAATGCGTGCGCTTGAGCTTAAGTCAATCGGAGCGTTGCCGTCAAGCGCAGTGATGCATGCATGAACCTGCCGGACACGCATCTGTATCCACAGATACGCAGGGCATAGAGTTGCAGTCGTGTTGAGGCTAGCACTGAGCAACTGACATCCTGGCTTGAGCCTGTCATTTTGCGATGCTTTCACTATATGTCTGTAAGCCTGCAGCAGCTGAAAGGTAAGTTGTCTGCTCGTATGGTATTTGTGTATGTCCAGTGGGCATCATAGAGCATTCGTGTGCACATAACAGATACCACATATTCTGTGTCTGTGTCCATCTCATGCACACAAACAGCCGGAGGAGCAGGCACGCGACAGTGTACCCCCCCCAAAGCAGGCAGCGCCGCCGCAGCAGCAGGAAGGGGGGGGCGGCGCGCAAGCCGCCGGTGCACGCGCGCGCCGCGCAATCGACATCGGCCTTCTTGACCAGCTGAACGCGATGGGGCGTTGCCCGAAGGAGGTATGTCATGTGCTTCCTTGCTTTGGTTGTGAATGTGTGCGGACGAGGGGTGCAGGCACGCGCTGGGCC